AATTCCTTTCAGTTCGGCTGCGCCGGCTACTGTAATCGCTCTAGAAATCAGAGACTCTATGATCTCAATTCCTTTCAGTTCGGCTGCGCTGGCTACTGTATTGGCGACTATCCAGGCGCGACTATTGCCTAACCATAGAGCGCCGTCTAGCAAGCAGTGGCTAGATCGTCCGAGCTCTAGCTTCATAGGATTAGCTGGGGGCTTGCTGGCTCCTAAAAGTTCATGAAATTCTTGGTTTTGGGCGCAGCCCCTAAATGATTTACAGCCTGCCATCTTCATCTTATTAATAGAAAAATACGGGCCAGAACTTGGCAGTTTCTCCCACGTGCTTTCCAATGACATTTAAATAAGGAGAGACTATCACCCTCTCTGTGTTACTATTATGCTCTCTGCTCACTCAAGCAGCCTTCCCAATTTCCAGAGTACTAAGATTTCAGCCTTGAGAATTCCCAGGCTGCTTGGGCAAAAACACTTGGAGGTCACTAGTTTCCAGGCTGGAAGCTGATCTAAAGATTCCTGCATTTTAGCAGGGTTTGGCTGTCACTGGAGATAAAAACTCTGCATCCTTAAAAATGTATTACCTATTTACGTGAGAGCCAGTTTTGGCTGTTCCTGGATCTGCAGACCCTGGCTATGATCAATCATGCCCTAGTTACCTGCATATCAAATGACTTCAATAAATTCTGCATAAGCCACCATTGAAGGGTATCCAAAAGTTACAGCTGGTAGAGAATGCAATGGCCGGATTGCTTATATGTGTTTCTGAAGCAGCACATGTCACACCTCTGCTCCCTGAGCTGCCTTGGTTGCCAGTGTGCTTGCGGGTCCAGTCCAGTTTGCTGGTTTTGCCTTTGAAAGCTCCTCCTGGAGTGGGATTGAGCCTTTCCCTGCTTATTTCAGCCTATTTGATGACAAAGCTGGCAAAGAAGACATGCGGCAAGCACCATCAGCCTTTGGTGGATGCAGGAGCCATGGCCCCCACATTATGGAATTTTTTGATCTTTTTAACCTCACAGTTTTATACTGCTATTTATGACATTGTAATAATCCGATTGGAGGCCTATACTTTTAGCCAATTAAAATGAATACAATGTATTGACTCTCTTTTTATTGAAGAACTCAAGACGTCATACAAAGCAGTTCCTGGTTGGCATTCTGAGCCAAGAAAAACGCCAATTTCTCATTTTAAATTCCCCCTGCCAGCCAACCGATATGCACTGACGTATTTTCGGCCTCTCAATTGTCATCTTAAATTGGGATTTCATAACACCTTGCAAGCCTGAATATATTGAAAAACTGATTTTTCAATATAATTTATATTAATAATTTTAAACAGAAGATCAAAAACAAACAGAAACAAATACACCAAATAGACGAAAAAAGAAATTAAAAGTGTCAAAAGAAAAGGCTAGAAAGAAAGAAGTTACTTCCAATCTCCTTTACAATAATTATAATTAGAAATACAAAATTACTTCTTACTCTATGGTTACAAAAACTCTCTTTTCGATAATCTGGTTTGTTTTTTTATAATCACAACTGTAAATGATAACTTCATTTTTTGTTCTGTTTCACACAAATCTCTAATCTCTAACTTCCAATCAATAATTAATGTAGAGAATGTCTTCTCTCCAACTGAGGAAATCAATATAGTTGTCTCTGAAAATTCCATCATCACCACCAACCATTCCTCTATTGTGGTTAACCTTGAATCTTTGGTGTACATAATACAGTTAATCTTTGACAATAGGAGTTGAAATTTGGATCCTAGGACAGGGGTCCCCAACCACCAGGCTGCAGAAGTGGCAGGCAAGCATGCACGTACGCATGCATCTCCACTTGCACGAGAGACAAGGAATCTCAGAAAGAATTTGGACTTGCCAACTCAAATCTCATGTTCAATATTATGTAAGACATGTTTTATTAAAAGAATGAGGCAGGACATTAGTTAATTCCTCAGCTGAGCTTGCAATCAGAGATGGGAAATGACATTCAAAAATCCTCTACATACGTCAAATTTTGTCTCATGTGGAATTTCTTATGGGTGATAAAGGAGGAATTTTGTGTGAAACACTGTCCACAATCTGGGCATTTGAATAGTTTCTCCCATGTCTGTAACCTTACATGATCCATGAGGCTACACTGAGCACTGAAATCTTTCCCAAAATCCGGACATTCATGGGGTTTCTCTCCAGTGTGAGTCCTCCAGTGTATCACCAAGTCGGAATTCTCAATAAAACTTTACCCACACTTCAGACACTCATACGGTTTTTCTCCTATGTATCACCAGAGCGGAATTCCAATGCAATTGGATGTTGATGCTGAGTATTTCTTCTGGTTGAGTCTCTTGTGTCTAAATAAACTTGGCTCTTTGGCTGAAAATAATCCAGCAAGCTGAAAACAAGCAATGTATATCCTTGGGAAAAGTTGTCTTTGATCCCATCAAGCTTTCCTTCCAATCAGAAAACTGATGGCTTTTATCCGGTATGAGTCCTCATCTTTAACAATAGTAGAGTTGTGACTGAAACACTGACCACAGTTTAGGCATCTGAATGGCTTCTGATCTGTGTGTAAATTGACATAATTTATTAGATTAGACCTACTTGTGAAAGCTTTCTGACAACTGGGACATTCAGTTTCCTATTATTCCACCAGGTGGGAATGCCAACTAAAACTTTTCCCACAATCCAAGGACTCATTCTGTGTGAATCCTCTGATGTCTCACCAGGTCAGACTTCCAACTGAAAGCTTTCCCACAATTTGGACACTTATAGGGTTTCTTTCCCATGTGAGTCCTCTGGTGTATCATTAGGTTGGCATTCTGACTGAAACCTTTCCCACAATTGAGACACTTATATGGTTTCTCGCCTGTATGGGTCCTCTGGTGTCTCTCCAGGTTGGAATTCTGACTGAAACATTTCCCACAAACTAAACACTCATACGGTTTCTCTCCTGTATGGGTCCTCTGGTGTATAAGCAGATTGGAATTCTGCTGGAAACTTTTCCCACAATCTGGACACTCATGTGGTTTGTCGCTCGTGTGAGTCCTCTGTTGTTGCACAAGGTTGGAATTCCAACTGAAATCTTTCTCTCCTATGTGTGTCCTCATATGCGTCACTAGGGCAGAATTATTATTGAAACTTTTCCCACAATCTGGACACTCATATGGTTTCTCCCCAGTGTGAGTCCTCTGGTGTATCACCAGATTAGAGTTTTGACTGAAACTTTTCCCACAATCCGGACACTCATATGGTTTCTCGCCCGTGTGAGTCCTCTGGTGTATCACCAGGAAAGAGTTCTGACTGAAACTTTTCCCACAATCTGGACACTCATATGGTTTCTCTCCTGTGTGAATCCTTTGGTGTTGCACAAGGTTACAATGAATATTGAAACTTTTCCCACAAACTGGACATTCATATGGTTTTTCTCCTGTGTGAATCCTCTGGTGTTTCACAAGGTTAGAATTATTATTGAAACTTTTCCCACAATCTGGACAGTCATATGGTTTCTCCCCAGTGTGAGTCCTCTGATGTATCACGAGGCAAGAGTTTCGACTGAAACTTTTCCCACAATCCGGACATTCATATGGTTTCTCTCTGGTGTGAGTCCTCTGGTGTATCACCAGGCGAAAGTTCTGACTGAAACCTTTCCCACAATCTGAACACTCATACGGTTTCTCTCCTGTGTGAGTCCTCTGGTGTATCACCAGGCAAGAGTTCTGACTGAAACTTTTCCCACAGTATAGACACTCATATGGTTTCTCTCCTGTGTGAGTCCTTTGGTGTTGCACAAGGCTGGAATTATTATTGAAACTTTTCCCACAATCCGAACATTCATATGGTTTCTCCCCAGTGTGAGTCCTCTGGTGTATCACCAGGCAAGATTTCTGACTGAAACTTTTCCCACAATCTGGACACTCATATGGTTTCTCCCCTGTGTGAGTCCTCTGGTGCATGACCAGATTGGAATTCTGCTGGAAACTTTTCCCACAGTATAGACACTCATATGGTTTCTCTCCGGTGTGAGTCCTCTGGTGTTTCACAAGGTTAGAATAATTATTGAAACTTTTCCCACAATCTGGACACTCATACGGTTTTTCCCCAGTGTGAGTTCTCTGGTGTATAACCAAGTAGGCATTATGACTAAAGCTTTTTCCACAATCTGGACACGCATATGGTTTCTCTCCAGTGTGAGTTCTCTGGTGTATCACCAGGTAAGAGTTCCGACTGAAACTTCTCCCACAATCTGGACACTCATATGGTTTCTCCCCTGTGTGAGTTCTCTGGTGTAACACCAGGTAAGAGTTCCGACTGAAACTTTTCCCACACTCTGGACACTCAAATGGTTTCTCTCCAGTGTGTGTCCGCTTGTGTATCACCAGCGTGGCATGCTTACTAAACTTTTTGCCACACTGTGGGCACTGGTAGGGCTTTTCTCCAATATGGGTTCTTTTATGCTGAATAAGTTGGGAAGTGTAGTGAAAAGCTTCACCACATTCGGAGCATTTGTATGGTTTTTCACCAGTGCGGATCTTCTGATGCATAATCAGCTCTGATTTACAATATCTGTTTTTCCGACAACATGAATATCTGTGGAGCTTTTCCACCACTGATAGTCTTAGATTTTTGAGGAGGTCAAAAATATTTGTGATCTCTTCTTGGATGGTTCAGGCTGATAGGTTGAGGCCTGCATTATTGTCTGGAATGAGCGCTTCCTCCCCACCAACTTCTAGATATTTCTTCTTTTTCTGAATCTGGAAATGTTCCACCTTTATTGTTTGATATGTTTCCTTGAGTTCCACACACAATACTTCTCCAGCACAAAACTCTTCTATTTTGTTTTGTTGTCTTTTCCTGGCTGGGGAAGGAAACAAGTTTTGTAGCTATCTGGAGGAATTGGAACAGATGTTGTTCCCAGATCTAGCGGTTTCACTTTCGTTTTTAAAGCTGCTGTTGATTCTCTGTCGGGCAGAAGGGGGTTCTTTGGTGTTGCCTTGGTCTGTAAGATTCACAAAAAAAGAGATACTTTAATTTATCTTCATAAAATGGTTGCAAGATGTGAAAATAAAAGAAAAAAAAGCATAAATAACAATGAAAAAGCAATCATGCCAAAATGTTAGATTAATCACTGCCATTCATTTTGACACATAAAAGACTAATTTCAAATGTTCATACAATCATGGAATTCTATTGTTGACTCGTGCAAATCAGTTTGTCAACACTGCAAATTTTTATAATCATATAGGTACCAAAATACACTGCTCAAAAAAATAAAGGGAACGCTTAAACAACACAATGTAACTCCAAGTCAATCACACTTCTGTGAAATCAAACTGTCCACTTAGGTAGCAACACTGATTGATAATCAGTTTCATATGCTGTTGTGCAAATGGAATAGACAAGAGGTGGAAAGCATAGGCAGTTAGCAAGACATCCCCAATAAAGGAGTGGTTCTGCAGGTGGTGACCACAGACCACTTCTCAGTTCCTATGCTTTCTGGCTGATGGTTTGGTCACTTTTGAATGCTGGCGGTGCTTTCACTCTAGTAGTAGCATGAGACGGAGTCTACAACCCAGGTAGTGCAGCTCATCCAGGATGGCACATCAATGCAAGCAGTGGCAAGAAGGTTTGCTGTGTCTGTCAGCATAGTGTCCAGAGTATGGAGGCGCTACCAGGAGACAGGCCAGTACATCAGGAGACGTGGAGGAGGCCGTAGGAGGGTAACAACCCAGCATTAGGACTGCTACCTCCGTCTTTGTGCAAGGAGGGACAGGAGGAGCACTGTCAGACCCCTTCAAAATGACCTCCAGCGGGCCACAAATTTGTATGTGGCTGTTCAAATGGACACAAACAGACTCCATGAGGGTGGTATGAGGGCCCAACATCCACAGGTGGGGGTTGTGCTTACAGCCCAACACTGTGCAGGACGTTTGGCATTTGCCAGAGAACACCAAGATTGGCACATTCACCACTGGCGCCCTATGATCTTCACAGATGAAAGCAGGTTCACACTGAGCACATGTGACAGACGTGACAGGGTCTGGAGAGGCCGTGGAGAACGTTCTGCTGCCTGCAACATCCTTCAGCATGACCAGTTTGGCAGTAGGTCAGTAATGGTGTGGGGTGGCATTTCTTTAGGGGGCCGCACAGCCCTCCATGTGCTCACCAGAGGTAGCCTGACTGCCATTAGGTACTGAGATGACATCCTCAGACCCCTTGTAAGACCATATGCTGGGGCGGTTGGCCCTGGGTTCCTCCTAATGGAAGACAATGCTAGACCTCCTGTGGCTGGAGCGTGTCATCAGTTCCTGCAAGACGAAGGCATTGATGCTATGGACTGGCCCGCCCGTTCCTCAGACCTGAATCCAATTGAGCACATCTGGGACATCATGTCTTGCTCCATCCAGCAACGCCACATTGCACCACAGACTGTCCAGGAGTTGGGGGATGATTTAGTCCAGGTGTGGGAGATCCCTCAGGAGACCATCCCCCACCTCATCAGGAGCATGCCCAGGCACGTGGAGGCCACACACACCACTGAGCCTCATTTTGACTTGTTTTAAGGACATCACATTAAAGTTAGATCAGCCTGTAGTGTTTTTTTCCACTTTAATTTTGAGTGTAAGTCCAAATCCAGACCTCCATGGGTTGCTAAATTTGATTTCCATTGATAATTTTTGTGTGATTTTGTTGTCAGCACATTCAACTATGTAATGAATAAAGTATTTAATAAGAATATTTCATTCATTCAGATATAGGATGTCTTATTTTTGTGTTCCCTTTATTTTTTTGAGCAGTGTATATTGATAGGAACACGGATACACATATATTCACACAAAATACAGAAACACACCCCTCTACCTGTGTACCATATGTATGTATCAGTGGTGGGATTCAAGTAATCTAATAGGTCATGTGGGCGTGGCCAGGTGGGCATGTGACTGGGTGGGCGTGATGTGGTCATGTGACTGGGTGGGCATGGCCAACTCAATGTCACTCACCTCAAGGAGTGCCTCACCTGGCCCCTCCCCTCACAGCTATTCCTTGTCACACTCAGCCTCAACGCATCTATAGTTCTGTAAAAATGTTGTTCACCTTTTTTGACTTTATTATCTACATACTATTAATGTACTTTCTTGGACCACTGAAAGGAGGAAATGGCTCACATGCTTTCCCCAAGAGTGTGATAGGTAACAGGCTTTTAAGGGGTTGCTATAAAGAAGAGGGGGTGGGGGCAATGTATTTTCCAAAGAAGCAGAAGGCAAAACAAGAAGCAATGGATGGGAACTGAACAAAGAGAGAAGCAATGTAAAACTAAGGAGGAACTTCCAATGAGAACCATTAACCAATGGAACTACCTGTCTCCAGAAGTTCTGAGTGCTCAATCATTGGAAGTTTTTAAGAAAAAGACTGGACAGCCATTTCCCTGAAATGGCATAGGGTTCCCCCCAAGGTCCCTTCTAAGTATTATTCTGTTATTCTGACACATTTCCCAGGCCCTCTACTCAGAATTTGGCACCCTTAGTTTTCCTGGCTCAGCAGGGGGTTGGACTAGAAGACCTCTAAAGTCACTTTCAACTCTGTTATTTTGTTATTCCTGAGCTAAATAGCTAAGGCCCTCATTGGGACCCTATCTCTTTTGCTCCTTCTGGACTAATGAGTTTAAGAGCTGCCTCTAGACGTTCGTTTTAATAACTTTTAGAAACCTGCAGTTGAAAGTATTTCATGTCTGCTTACTCTGAAGACCCAAATTTATTTGGAATTTAATCCCAAGCTGATTGACCTTTTGGCATTTCTCTTGATGCTTCTCCAAAGTGCATCTCCAAGAAGCCACATCTTTCTCTCTCTCTCTCTCTCTCTCTCACACACACAAAATTCCCTTGTCTTGGAGACTTTAGAATCATAGGCTAGGTCCCTTGGAGGTCTTATAGTTGAACCTTCTGCTCAAGGCAGAAGACCTCATATATACTTGTGGGTCTGCAGACATCCCAGCTTCGGCTGGAAGAACTGCAGGCAGCCTTCCTGGCCACACACTTCCTTCTCCCGCTGCCCCATGTGAGGCGGGAGGCCCGAGAGAAACCACCTAGTCAGGGCAAACAGCCCTTCATGACCTAGCTAGCCCTTCCCGAGGAGCAAAGCATGGCTTGGACAAACTGATCCATCCTGAAGGTAACCTGCAGACCAGCGGCGGTGGAGGCAGAAGGAAGAAAGCGAGCTCCAGACCAGTGGTAGTGGTCGCACTCCAAGAGGGCAGGCGGATGTCCCGGGGCTGCACATGAGCACTGCAGCAGAGGAGCAGTCTCGGCTCCAGTGCAGCGTCTCCCCCAAGAGCCACCTGCCCATCTGCTGGCTGCGGGACCTGATATGGAGGGGAAGGCAAGTGGGTGGCAGTCTCCCGTAGGCTCCGTGGAAACCGAGCGCGCCAGGCAAAAAGGCAAGCGAGCCTCGCCATGTCTCACCAAGGCATCTCTTTGGCTGAGCATAGGGGCTATTTGTATATAGGAAACATACCACAGTAGTAATGGGAGACTTTAACTACCCTGATATCAACTGGGAACCTAACTCAGGAGATCAAACAGATTCTTAACCAACTTAGCTGAGAACTTTGTAATCCAAAAGGTAGAGGAGGGAACTAGAGGAAAAACTGTACTGGATCGAATTAATAAAAAGAAGTGATAGAAGAAATTGAAGTTGCTGGAACCTGGGGTGAAAGTTATCATGCCATATAATCCAACCTGTGTCTTAAAATAGAGTTGATTTTAACAAACTCAGAGAGATCCTTAAGCTAAATTTCATGGATAAAAATCCTGAAGGGGAAAACAACTCACAAAAAATGGGAAACTGAAAAATATGATCATAAAAGCCCAGTCCAACACAATAACACTAAAAAAGAAAAACAAGAAATCCAAGATAAAATCAGAATGATGTCATAAAGACCAATCGGATAAACTGAAAGATAAAAAGGATAAGTACAAAAAATGGAAAGAAGGACACATTACTAAGGCAGAATATCAGCAGATAGCCTGAATGTGCAAAGATAAACTCAGGAAAGCAAAGGCGCAGAATGAACACAGACTTGCAACAAAAGACAAAGACAATAAAAAAAAGTTTCTTTCAACATATAAATAACAAAAAAACCGAGGAAACAGTTGGTTCACTAAAGTGTGAAGATACCAAGGAAGTTACAGGCAGTAGACATGTAGCCAATCAGCATTCTTTGCATCAGTCCTCGCACAAAAGGAAACTATTGCCCAACCTACCAAAAATATAACTGTAAAAGACAGACTAGAAATAAAAATTAAAATAAGTAAGCAAATGGCAAGAGTACCTGTCTAACCTTGATAAATATAAATCACCTGATGGGTTACAGCCCAGAGTTCTGAAAAAGCTGGTAGATGTCATCTCAGAACCATTGTATCATATCTTTAAAAAATCTCGGAGCACTGGGGAACTATCAGAGGTTCGGAAAAGAGCTGATGTGGTTCCCATCTTCAAAAAAGGAATAAAAACAGACCCACGAAACTACAGACCAACAATCACCCTAACATCAATATCTAGAAAGATACTGGGAAAAAATAATTTTAAAGAAACCTGTGACTAAGTGACTAAATTAGCAGACCAGCCACAAAGTAGACCACAACCTATTTCTTGCTCAGCTAGAAAAATGTG